GATATCACAGCTATGCAGATGACACTGGCTAAATATTTTCCCATCTCCAGATATGAAAACAGAAACAGCAGATAGTGTCTGATAATGTTACTGAGCTTTTTGATAAGGCAGCTCTGGATACAATTCTTGCAAAGTGGAATTATGCAGACCGACTGGACTCCAAAATACGAAGCATGAGCATTTGTGTAGCCTTTGTTATGATCGGAAAAGTTATTTCAGAGGCTCACTCTGATATGTTTTTTTGGCACAGTCTTTCCTTTCTGAAGAAGAAGTCTTTTTCTTTCTGAAGCCTGATTCTTCTCCCTTGTTTTGCATTCTTGATAATCATTCATACCTGTGTAAAGTAGGTATACAGTGCCTTCATATTGTAACGCAGTGAAGAATTGGGATCACGAATTCTTCAGCATAGGAGGGATTTTTCTCTTTTGAATCCATTTAATAGTGTTGCCAAATACTTGCAGTTTGGTAAAGAACTGCATCTGTTTTACTTTTACCTTGATCAGGCATCCATGCTGTCTCTCTTTGAAACACTGAGACTGGATTCCTGCAATGCAGCATATGCTTAGCTGCCCGGGAACTTCTTGTGGCCAGTGCTGAATGCCATGATTTATTATCATGGAAAGTAATGTAGCTGTAAGCAGCAGCTTAATATGAAGCACAGAGTAGGACCCGGATCCAGCATGATTAACCTCAAGAGGTCTCCTGAAGGCCACTGAGGCAATCTGATTTGGGAATCTCTCTCCACTGACTGAATAGCAAATGCCTGCACCTTCACGCACAAGTGTTTAAACCACCTTGGTGCTGTTCAAAGGCTGGCCGTGGCCATACAGTCTGATGGAGCTAATAACTGGTCCCACCACAACCAACCTCTCAGGCTTCTCCAGGGATTGAGATGGCTCTGCCTCTCAACTTGGATCACAAATTAGTTTGAGCAGGGAAAAAATATTAATCTCCCCAAATCACTGTGTTTCTGAACCTGCACATCTGAGAAAAATTGAGGCTACAAGGTATCTAGCAGCTTTTCAGAGAAGGGTGACTTGTCCACTAGGCAGTGCAGGAAAATGGGTTGTTGGAGACTTGCACAGTGTTTAGGTGGCCAAGTCCCATGTAGCCAGGATGATGGGAGATACCTGATCAGAAACTTCAGATGGTGTCTTGGTTATTAAGTGATCTTATTACTGAACTTCTGGCAACCTTACAAGGTATTTACTCTCTCTCTTAAGTCAGAGAGTGCATATTCTGATCAAGGGCTTTAAAGAAAAATGCTTCTTACCCAAATTGTTGTTTAATTGCTTAAAATAAAAATATAATTTCTATGATGTAGTAATTAATTCTGGGGCATAAGCCAGTAGCAAAATATGTATGAATCTTATGTGCCACAGTCATTAAAATGTAAATTGGTCTTTTATTTTGATGGCATGATCTTGCTTACATACTTTAGAAAGAACAGTCCAAAATGGAAGTCACCAATTTGAAATAATGGTCATTTTTTAATAAGAATGCATGAAGAAACATGTAACTGTTTTCACGTGGTCACTGTAATATAATGAGGATCCTTATAAGAATATGCTATATTTTAAAATGGAAAAGGTAGAAGGGGGACAGGAGACTTCAACAGTATCAGCATAAATAGGAAAATATTGCAATGTTAGATTTTTGTAGTATATTGGCTACCATTAGAGCAGCAAACATAGATTTCCAGATGTTTGTGAAGAGTCCAACAGTTATATTTTATATCTATGGCTGTAGTAACAATTTCTATTCAGCAGCCTAGAAAAACATTTCATGTCACAACAGGAAAGAAATATTACTGTGGGGTTTTTTTCTCCCTCATCCCCTATATAGCAATTCTGAATACTTCAGTCAATGCCAAACAAAAATGATGGTTTAAAAATTAAAACCACAGTCACTAGGGGCAGGACATAAATGTGCAGATGTTCTGTGATGTTGAAAAACTTTTCAGGCAACAGCCACAATGTTGTGGAGAAGACTGGAAATCCATCAGAGTCGGACACTGTCAAAAGCATTCCCTAAGCTACACTGTCAGAAAAGGCAGTTACCTTTTCATATTCCCTTAAGAAAAAAAAAGAAGAAAAAAAAATCAAAACCAGAAAACCTACTCACAATGGCCTTTATGTAGCTCTCACTATTTTACTAGCAAGGGATTCACTGTAATCTGTTAATATAAGTGAGCAACTTATATCTAGAGTTTACTGGGCAACCTGTACAAGTGGAAAACTGCATTGTCCCAAAGCAGTGCACAAAACATCCATTTTCCTTCTCCGGGAAGGAAAATTTTTACAAGCTTATAGGCTGTTTCTGTTTCAGGCACCTCTGTGCCTTAGTGCTGTTACACAAATGGCTGCCTGAAAATCCTGTATTTACCACACCTTACCTGGCTAGACAAAGAGACATCATGAATAACAACAAAAATAGCAGAGGGTGAGTTTTTAAAGGCACTCATTGTAATCGGTATGTTTAATGCCTGTGCATGATGACAGACCTCTTCCCTCCCAAGAGCTGGCAGGCACTTCTGCAAACGTGCATGTAGCACGGAGCCGTCCTGCTAGAGCATGAGCTTTTACTGTTGCCTCTCTCTACCGCCTGATGGTTACAAGGATGGAAATAAAGGTCAAAAATATAAATGGATGTCGGCTCCTCCCTCTCCTAGTTATTTTACTTGCTTTAATTAGTAAGGTGAGATCACAGGTGAGGTTTTCTGCACCGCCTGGCCCCGCTGTGCCTCAAAGGGTGCAGAAAGCTCTCCAACAGCAGCACGATTCCCCAAGCAACCAGAAACTCTCTGGAGCAAGAAAGCCATGGGCAGCTGTGCCGCTTCCTAGCAAAAGGCAAGGGGGACGCTATAAGTACAGGCGATGTGGTGGGAGTACCGGCTTGTGCAAGACAGGTGGTCCAGTGGGGAAAGGTTGGCATATGTTAGGGGAAGCAGGGGCAGGGCCAGGAAGTGTGCGGCTGCAGGGAATCATGGAGTTGAAACTGCATCTCTGATGGCCTGGCCTCTTTTCAAAGCCCCAGAAATTGCCTGTCATATGTGGCTTCTGTCAGGTGTCAGGTACCAGTTTTCCAGAATGAAATGCACCGGTAGCAGGTAAAGACAATTCATTAGGTGCAACACAGCAGAACTGTAATTAATTATTAGATATTATTTCTCACAAAATGCATCTCCAAGATCACATTGCATTAGCCACAATATTGGACTGATGGGGCATAAAAAAGGGTAATGGTAAACACTGGTGAATGGGGTTGGGAAGAGATGGTTATTAGGATACCGGTGTGTTTCATGTGGGGTTTATTTAACAGTCTCATTAATGATCTGGAAAAGGAAGTGAATAACCATTTAATTAAGTTTGCATTTGATGCTAAATTAGAAGTTGCTGCAGACACCTCCGAGGGCAGAGAAATAAATCAAAAGGAGCTAGAAGCATGTGCAGTAAAGAAGAAAATGAGATCTGGTATGAAGAAAAAAAGCAAGCTAATCTCTCTGGAAGCAAATAATCTAAAATGTAGCTATCAGTGGAGGAATTCTGGAGAAAGCAGTGTTGAAAGAGACGTAGGAGTGTTAATGGACTATATATTCCATCACAGCTCAGGTATATGTTTACAGAAGCAACGCACCAAGGAGCAGGAAGGTAATAGCCTTTCATTGTAGGGCTCTAGTGAGAACCCATCTATAATGCTGCACTCTGTTTTGGGCATCCTGTTATCAGAGGGATATAGACAAATTGGAATGAGTTCAGAAAAGAGCCATAAAAATGATCCCATATCCCTGGAGATAATGACTTATGAAGAAAGATCAGAAGACGTAAATGTGTAAGGCCTTGTCTGAAAGATGACTGAAGTAGGGGAGGAAAACAGTCTGCAAATATGTGAAAGCAAAAAGGGAGGAGGATAATTTATCATAGTAACTATTAGTAATAGGATGAAATAATAAGTAACAACAATAAATTTAAAAAGGGCAACTTCAGGTTGAATGTAGGGAGAAATTTCTGACAGTGGAATTTGGGTTAGTTTGCAGAGAAGTTTCCCAGGGGTAAAAGTAAAAGCTGCATTCAAGTCATTTAAAATCAAATTGGACAACTCACTAGAAAATGCACCCTGCTATAGGGAACAATCTTCCATCGCCTGGGGAATAAGCTGGATGACTTAATAGGACATTTCACACTCAAGTCTTTATGACTGTGATATTTTTAATATGCATGGTCAACTATTTCAGGAAAGTATACATTTCTTCTGCTGTCAGGCCTGATAATACAAACACTTGCATGCAAACATAACTTTTAAGAAGGCAAGTAGCTCTGCTGACAGCACTGCACTGCTGATGTGCAAAAACACAAGCCTGAGCTCTTCAAGTTTGTGCAGGATCAGAGTCTAGATCTTGCAGTTTTCAATATCGAGATGGTATATACAGGTAACCACATCATTTACGGGTAGGTGAAGAAGTGTGCAGAGCAAAAGATGGGGGTCGGAAGCTCCAGTGAGGATGTATTCTTATTGTTATTATTATCATTATTGCTATTACTACTTATAAATGACTGGCACTGTGGAGTTCAACTCCGTTTCTTAACTGTTCACCTTTTTCATCTCCTGCTTTCACCTCTGTGCAGAGTGTTCATTAGTGTAAGACTGCTTTCTATATTCTGTTTTTTTAACGTTTGATATTTTTAATATATCCTAAAATGTCTGTTGAATGAGAAAAGAGACAAGTTGAAGTGAAAACTTCACCCTCCCTCAGATGAAGAAGAGATGGCAAAGGCTATGGATTTAAATGGATATGAGGGTAACCCCATATTTTCCCCCCAATTATAATAATGTAAAGTTGAACTCGTTTCACCGTTCATTAGCAGCAGAGACAAGCTCACAGGCATTCAGATAGTAGGTATGCTCCCTAAAAACGCCATGGTTTTTACATGTGTTTTTTATATTCTTGTTTTCTTCTCTTCCCTCCCCGCTCCCCGATGGGCTGTGTGTGGGGCTGGCAGCCTGGTGGTGCCGCAGTCCAACGCCCGAGCCTCGGGACTCTCCAGCAAGGGGTCAAGCAGCAGCAGCTCCAGTGAATCCGAGACCAGCTCAGAGTCTGACTCAGAGAGCGAAAGCAGCTCCAGCGAGAGTGACGGCAGCAAGCCCTCGCATTACTCCAGCCCAGAGGTAAGGGCTCCTGCTCTTTATGATTTAGGGCAGCAATCCATTATTACACCCACTCAGACCTTTTTCCAGCCAAGCCAACGCAAGGAGGCTGTGGGGAGATGCACAAAAAAATGGAAGAGAAAAGCCCAGGGATCCCCATCCTGGCATGCTGTGAAATGCAAGTGGCAGGGGATCCTGGGGCAAATTAAAGCATTTGAAACAAAAATGAAGAAAGAAATAACCCCATGGTATTTTCCTCAAATTGGAGATGAGTGGAGCACCTTGCAAGGCTCACAGCTTGCTTGAAGTTTTATGCAACTCTGCCTCCATAGCAATGGCTTGCTTAGTGCATAAATCCTGATGTGGGCTCCCAGCACTGCAAGGGAACTAAAGGCTTCTTTACACAGGGAAGCTATTATAAAATCAGTTTGAGGGTGGATTTTTAAAGCAAAACGGTTGTTCTTCACTCATGCATTTCCCTCACCTCACTCTCTAGGTGAATTATTCTCTGCTACTGCTGCCTTTGTGTGATTTATTTTAATCCACTTCCAAAATGGACTAAACTGAATTACTCATGGTGCAAAACATTAAGCCCAAACTTGTCATCTGGAAAGCTAGTACTGAAAATATCCACATGTGGACAAGTCCTAGCCAAATTACAATTAAGCTGCCAGTGCTATGCCACCTTCTGCTTTCACCTCTGCAGAGTGCTCAACAGACAGGACAAGGCTGCTTTCTCTGCTCTGCTTTTCTACCAGGATTGACATTTTTACATGTTTTGGTCCATACACACCTTTAGTATAAAACCATAAACTCCACAGCCACATCACACACATTAATGTATGTAAAAATATTCAAAAATCTAGTGGCAAGATTGTAAATACACATGAAATACAGTCAGTGTATTTTCCTACTCCACATAAAGCATCTAATCACCAGGCTCCTCCCGCCAAAACTATGCCTCACCTATTCTCTCACCCTGAAAAATTGTACTGAATAACCAGCAAGCCTTTCCTCATCTTTTGCTCAGTTATTTGGGGCTATGTTTCCTATCAGGCAAAATGCAGCACTCACAGAAACATCCTTAATATATTTTTCTCAGGTTCTGTCACTTTCGTTCCTTATTTAACACTTATCTTCCTTTCTGTCTTTCCTTCACAGTACTTTCAGATCCATTTCCAGTTAATTTTCCTCTCACTTTGTCCCTTTCCTAAATTTCTCTCTCTGGTTCTCTTTCCTTTTGTCTCTATTCTCTTCCTTCCAGTCTCTCTTCCCTGTTGCCCTCCCTGTGCTACCCCATGTCTTATTTCCCCTTCTGAGCTCTCTCATCCGACCCATTAAGACCTTTTCTCTCTCTGCCTACTTCGCCACTGGAATTAGAGCAGAGGTCTCGCGCTCGGTCTCTCCTCTCCCTGTGGGATCTCAGAAGGTGGAAGAACAGAGACGAAGAGAAGAAAGAGAAGGAACCATTGTGGGGGGAAGGAAATATGAAATAAAAGGAGGTGAAGCATAGTACCCAGGAAAGGAGGAGTGTTTACTCTCGAGGCAGATACCTGTGCTGCTTGGACCTGAGAGCAGCAATTCCTCAGGGAATGCGGGAAGTTAATTAACTGAGGCAGGTTGTGGATTTCATAAAGTCAAGCAGGGGACTGAGAGCCATGGAAAAGTGGAGGTAATGCCTCCTCTTAAGCGTTTTATACATATCCTCTCGAGATCTGTGGAACTACTTTTGTACAGATCCTGAGTTATCAGTGATCATTGTCACGAAACAGCTGTACTGCTCCAACAGATTGCTTGTCTCTTTGCATTATATTTGTGTGGTTTGCCTTCTAGGACATGCTGTATGAAACATGCTTATACGAAAATGTAAATGACTCAAAAAATGTGACGGCTGTAGTGGTTTTCATAAGTCACGCCTTGACGGAATATGGGAGAGACCACACATGGATACGGTCAAGGTGTCCCAGGGAAGTAGGATACCTGTGCTTTCCCCAAGGGCCAGTGCTTTCCAAGACCCATATTATGACTGATGGCACTGGTTCAAAACATGCTTACATGACGTCTCTGACTGGAAGTCATGTCTGCTTTGCATTAATGCTTTAACTTACATTTATGCACCCAGTGAAGCCATCTTCCTAAAGTATATGCCATGTTCTTACCCGGTAAATGGAGAGAGACAGGTCCTTGGAAGCTCTTTAAAGGGAGACCCTGTCCACCTAAATTTACGTAGTGAACTCAATTCTAATCCTAGTCTTAAAATGAATTTCATCTATTGGATAAGACATAAAAAGCAAATACATCTTTACTTTTGCTTTAGCATAAACTGATAAATTCAGGTACAATGAACTTGAGTACGCCGGCACAATGCTGGGCAGGAAATCCATATTTCCAGGTTGGAAGGAACTTAATCTGGAAATCTGCAGACATTATGAGGCCTTCATTCTTTTTTTTTCCCATAATCTGAGATATTATATGCATATACTCCAAGATTTTTATTTCTAGGACAGTGTGTCTTCTGCATTTGAGGTTATATAGAAATCCAGTTGCTGTTTCATTTCTTCTGTATTTTTTCCTCATCTCATTTTGAGATCTTTGAGATGTTCTCAGGTATCTAAATGCAGTTGCCTAGAGTGTAAAAGCAGCTCATTGGAAAGCATACATATAAAATAGATTAGATGAATTGCACCCTAAAAGTGTCTGTTTCTTTCCATTGACTATTTAGAGCCTGTAGTGACTAGCTCAGCTGTCTACACTTTATGTCTGCAGTAAACTAAGAATAATGGCTGAGCTAGAACAGGAGACAACATTCAGACTGGTTTCAGTGATGTGGACAAATTAAGGTGCCTCAGACATTAATATGAGTAGTTACAGTTTTGTGGACTGCCAAACCTGAAATTATGAACAAGGGACTGAAGCTTCTATCTCCTGTTTCTTTGCTGAAGTCATGAATTCTTTGCATGACCTTAATTAACGTCATAAATGAGGACTCTGGAAAACAATGATGTCTTGTCCTTGCAACTATTTCAGATGGTAGAAAAAAACCGTGGGTGTCCAGTCCATAGAAAGAGCTACATTTCAAAAGCTAAGAATTTTGTTTGTTTGTTTATTCTTTGTTCCATTGAATTATCCTGCAGACCTTTAATAAGGCTGAATCTGGTTAGACAACCGGAAATTCCCACTATGCAGGGAGGACTAGAGGGGAGAATGGGCAGGAAGGAAGCGGAGACGCCATCGCATGGGACAAAGCATCAGTGCCTAGTCAACAGTAACCAGGCCAGAAGAGAGAGGTGTCCTGTCCTGGGCCCCGCCAGCCCCATGCACCAGCTGCAATGTCCTTTACAGCCTCTGCTTTTGTGACTAGTTCACAACCATTAAAGGTTTTTCCTCTTTTTCAAGGATTCACATAAACTTTTTGTCCATGCTTATTCCATCATCACAGGATATACTCCTTCATCTCAGGTCCCCACGTCGTGACTGAAGAGGTCAAAGCTGAAGTGATTTGTAGTATTATGCTCTTCCCCACCCTCCACTCTCGTCAGCAGAGAGCCACCTCCTGGCCACTGTGCATCATAGAATCATAGAATGCTTTGGGATGGAAGGGACCTTTAAAGGCCATCTAGTCCATCCCCCCTGCAATTGGCAGGGCCATCTTCCACTAGATCATAGTTGCTCAGAGCCCCATCTAGCCTGTCCTTGAATGTTTCCAAGGATGGGGCATCTACCACCTCTCTGGGCAACCCGTTCCAGTGTTTCACCACCCTCATCATGAAAAATTTTTTTCTTGTGTTTAGTCTAAATCTACCCTCCTTTAGTTTAAAACCATTACCCCTTGTCCTGTTGCAGCAGGCCTTGCTAAAAAGACTATCCCCATCTTTCTTGTAGGCCCCCTTTAAGTATTGAAAGGCTGCAATAAGGTCTCCCCGCAGCCTTCTCTTCCCCAGGCTGAAGAGAGCCCCAGCTCTCTCAGCCTTTCCTCATAGGAGAGGTGTTCCAGCCCTTTGACCATTTTCATGGCCCCCCTCTGGATCCTCTCCAACAGCTCCATGTCCTTCTTGTACTGAGGACCCCAGAGCTGGACGCAGCACTCCAGGTGCGGCCTCATCAGAGCGGAGTAGAGGGGCAGAATCACCTCCCTCGGCCTGCTGGCCATGCTGCTTTTGATGCAGCCCAGGATATGGTTGGCTTTCGGGGCTGCGAGAGCACATTGCCGGGTCATGTCCAGCTTTTCGTCTATCAGTACCCCCAAGTCCTTCTCCTCAGGGCTGCTCTCAATCCCTTCATCCCCCAGCCTCAAGTCCTTCAAGTGCCTGGACATCAGTACCAGTGGCTGAGGAGCCACTGCCTGTGAATCCCTGCTGTTCCCTCAGGTGTTTTGTGGCATTGGGTCTCTTCTCTTTAGCTCAGAAAATAGGAAGAATGTGTGTATCTCACAGACGAGCTAACTGGTGAGCATGCTCCTGCCACCTCACCAGCCTTTCTTCACTGATAGATTTCATTAGGGAGGCAGGGGAAGAAGAGTTGTAGTTTTAGGGTTGCGAGGTAGGAGGGGTATGTTTTCTGTATCTCTCTTGTTTTCCAAAAAGTTCTTGCTTCCCATCTTAAGTATAGCCATGACTCGATTTCTTGACTGGTATACTCAGAAGAAAAGGGGATTTTACCACTAGACCAACTGTAGACACTGTCTTTGCCTTTGCAAATAGGATTTATGGCCTTTAGCTGTCCTGTGGACTATTTTTGACAATGACTACAAACTAAATTCTCCCTTCCCTCCAGAAAACTCTTTGTGGCAGGAACCACCTCTTACAGTAGTATATGTGCGCCATGCCTAACACATGGGAATCCCCAGTTCTAATTTGATAAAGCGCTAGCAGCAGTGCCAATAGTAGCAATAAAGTAGTAGTAGCAATAACAATCATGATCATCTTCTTCATCATGATCATCTTCTTCATCATCATCCTCATCATCATCATCTATGCCTTAAATCCAATGAAAAGGCACCACATTTGTATGGGGATTTCCCTGAATTAAATCTTTGATAGCAGGGCAGCCACAAGCAAGTTATCATAAGAGTAAATTAGTATGTGGATTTACAATAGGCTGAGTATACTGCAGGGATGGCTGATAGCTCAGTCTTACCCCGCAGTGGGCTAAGTACATGCACATGTTACAGGCTTTCTAATCTCTCAATGAAAGTGGTGTCATGCTTCAAGTTTACCATGGTAAATGGGTCCCCATTACACTTACATTGTTTAACAGCCCTTCACCCCAGAAAGTGTTTCTGGATAATGTTTTGACAACGGTTTCTTTTGGATGCATGCCATTCGTGCTTCTGGTTGCACTTGTAGCCTTGAAGAGATCTGAGATATATAGATGCACTGTGTGGGAGGCATCCCACCTAAATTTGCACACATGTACCATAGATACCTACATCTGCTCATCACCTCAGCTTCCCCTTTACAGTCGGTGGAGAGGAATAGACGTTTTTAGGGCCCGGCTCATCTGGCCTATTTCAGATGTCTATTTCAAGAGGGAATGTTTCACACCCTAGAAGAGTAGTCCACTGACGGAGAAGGAACTTGTTAACTAGCTCAGATATAGGTGTCTATGTTGTACAGATGAATCCACCCACAATTTTTAAGGAAGTGTATCGCATCCTTCTGTTTCTCAATGAAGCCTGGCACATGTGGACATCTGTGGTGCATTCGTCCCTGGAACTATATATATTCATATATATTTCCATCCTTACATGCTGCTGAAAATGTCTGACTTTGAGCAAACTAACTTTTCTTCCATAGAATGGTATGTGACCTGCTCAGGGAGGTGGTGTGGACTGGAGAATTAGGGATTTTCTTTTTGTCCCACAAATAATTGCAGTTAGGCATGTAAAGTGGACGGGCAAAAACTTTCAAGTGAATTTCCCAATCACTTTTTTTACTAGGCCTGCTCTTCATTCTTAGCTGTGATGATTTTGTTGTCTTGCAAGGTACCTTGTTTTTTTAAGTGATTTCAAAGGACAGTACTTTTCGGTTAGAGTAGTCAATTGAATAAATTACGTCCAAAAGTGAATTGGCATCACTCATGTACACTGACAGTTTCAAATATTCCAAAATTTTATCAGGACCCAAAATAGTGATAAAGTTTTTAAATTCCCATTTTTTAAATTTAGATTCTTTTAATTTACCTTATGGGCTGCAGGCTTTTTACTTTTAGCAGATGCATCTTAAAGGGTTTTTTTAGCAGACACTTCTTAAGGGTTTTTCAGCAGCCACAGAGATTTGAATTTTTATTTAAATAAACCCCATGTGTGCTTCTAAGGCCATGATTCTGAGAGCTGAGGCTTTAAGAAAAAATAACGAGTGTCCTGAAACTCCTGACAAAATTAGTAAAGCTGGCAACATTGCTGACCATTTTATTAGACTTCATAGTTGGTTATAGGTTGGTGGGACTGTAGTTATTCTGCTTAAATAGCAGACATATCACTGTAGGAAAGTACCACATTGCCAAGTTATGACACTGTAGCAGTTAATCACTGTTTTCTGCTGGTTTACTGTGATCCCTTGAAATCCATATTTTGTGAACCACTGGTTTCAAGAATTACAAGGTACATAAAGAGACAGAATGGGATGTAACAGAAAAGCTGGAAGTTTTTTTTGAACTTTCAAGCTGCCCTCACTCTGACCTATACTTATGGGCAGAGGCATATTTTTCCCCACATGCTTCTGATGTATGTCCTTTTCTTAAATACACCTGAACAGTAGAAAGACTTCCATGTATAGTGAACCTTTTATTGTATATCTAGTAAATTCAGTGCACAATGAATGGCACCAAACAAATCTATCTGTATTTTCAGCAGCAATCAAAAAAAAATGCTGTTTATTTCAGATAAAGAGTTAAGAGTTGTAAAAATATATCTTCATCCAAAAGAAATACTGCCCATCCATTTTCAAGATTTACAGCTCAGGAAAGAAATTCTTCGTGTAAGATATTACGGAGTATGCTTAATAAAAAAAATAAACTTAAGGCAATTCAGCAAACTTCCCATAGGTACTGGCTAGCTCGATAATGAGTACGATGTCTAACCTTTTTTACTTATTTTAGGAGCCTTTGCTCCATGTAGAGTGAATACAACCCTCAGTGGGTGATTCTGGAGACACCCTTGGCTATGCAGGAAACCTGTGTTGCCCTCACGCACCTACTTTAAATAAGGAGTTAAGTAAAAGACTCTTTTAAGTTAGAGACTGTGGATATTCTCTCTTGAGCAAATTTTCTTCCAGAGCATTTATGGATTTCATGTTAGACTCATGACACTCTTCTTGATTATTCATATGCAATAGCCTAGTGGATCGAATTTTGGTTCCAGTTCAGGAAATGCGGAGACTTTTCGCATTGGCTTCTGCAGCGTTAGGTTATGGCTGGCCATCTATGCCATCATTTATTTCTTTTGGGTTTTTTTGCCTTTCCTCTTCATTTTGTTACATTCAAATTACTGATTGCAAGAAGCACTGGAAAACACTTGCACATTGTTCTGAAATAACATTGTCTGAGCTGTGGTTACATTTGAAATCATAATTATCCCACTTCTTCACTGTCCAAACACCATTATGTTTTACATGGTCTCTTATAAGTTGATCATGTTTTGACAAGAACGAAGAGAAAAGCTAACAGCTGCACAATACTCACAAAATGAGCACTTGACAATACTACCACACAACAAATGTTTGTGGGATCTCACAGGATTATAACGTCAATACCAGACAGATTACATGAACCACCTGGTTAGCCCTCCAGCTCCCCACTACATGCCTCTTTGCATGCTTTTTAAATACTTTTCCTGTTTATTGTGATGGCACAGGACACAAAATACATATCCTCAGCTTTCCTACTAGCTCTCCTCCCTTAGCCTCAGCCATAACACTACCTTGTTTTCCTCCCTTCCTATCACGATTATATTTTCTTCTCTTCAGAAACCTGGGAGCATTTCCCAGTACAGCTGATGCCAGTAGCACTGTGTGAATCATCCTTAGAAATGATGAATCACGGAAGCCATCCTCCTTCCCAACCCCATTCAGAAACCAAAAATATCCCTACTTGTGCAGCATTCCCCATGTCTCCCGTCCCACTGCACAGGGCCGGGGGGTTGGCGCGGCTTGAGGGTGGCTCCTTGACCAGAGGAAAATCTCAGCAGTACCAGGAGGGGCCTGGCATTTCGGTGTCCCTGGGGGAGCCCTGGGACGAGGGCAGCAGGGTCTCGGCACTAAGCTTGTTGCCATCTGTTTCCCTTTCAGCCTGAGCCACCCTCGTCCAACAAGTGGCAGCTGGACAAGTGGCTGAATAAAGTCACCCCGCACAAAGCACCCATCCTGACCCACCATGACGGCCCGGCGCTGGAGGCCCATCCCTACTACGGCCGCGTGAAGGCAGACCGGCAGGAAAGCGAGAAGACCCCGGCCGCCGGCCCAGCCGAGCACCGCAGTGGGGAGGGCCGCGCCACCACCACCGCTGCCACAGCCATTGGGGACGGACCACGGCCCAGGACTGCAAACAAAGCGCCGGGCAGCAAGGGCAGCCGGCAAAAGTCACCTCCCGCTGCTGACGGCGGGCCTCCGAGGCGGGCAGCAGGGAAGAAGGCACCGCGGCGGGCCGAGAGGACCTCTGCCGGGGACGGCCCCCACTGCCCCGGTGCGGAGGAGCCCCCCGGGAACCACAGCTTTCCAGAAACCCAGAAGCCCCGGGGGGCGGGGCCCGGGGGCCCCGCCCGGGCGGCAGCAGCAGCGGCAGTGGCTGCAGAGCAGGGCACCGCCGGGAGCCCCGCTCAGCTGCAGCCGGTGAGAAGCGTCGGGCCCGGGGGCCGAGCAAAACGGCACCCAAATCCAAGGAGTTCATTGAGACCGAGTCTTCGTCTTCGTCATCCTCCTCCGACTCGGGCTCTGAGTCGGAGCGGGAGGAGCGCCCACTGCCCAAGGTGCCGGCCGCGGCCGGGGCCGGGGCCGAGCCGCGCGCCAAGGACACGGGGACCGGTGCTGCCAGCAAACCCCACGGCGGCTGCAGTGCCTTTGGCTCCATTAATGCCAGGACTAGTAGTGAAATAGCAAAGGAGCTGGAGGAACAGTTTTACACCCTGGTTCCTTTCGGTAGGAATGAGCTCCTGTCTCCTCTGAAAGACAGTGATGAGGTAAAGTCACTGTGGGTCAACATTGACTTGGCTCTTTTGTCCAGGATTCCAGAGCGTTTGCCCGAAGAGCCGCTGGCCATGAGCGCCGGAGCAAACCAGGCGGCCAGCCTCCCGCAGGGTAGTAGTGCTGACCCCCCCGCAGAGAAGGGTTTACCGAAATCTAGAAGGAAACGCAAGGTGAGCTTCGGGGTGACCGATCGGGGCGGGTAGGGGGGCCTCCAGCAAGTGGGAGGCAAGCATCACTTGAGCCTGCATCCAGTGCTCGATGGTGCTGTCTTCTCTGGACCAGCGCTTCAGAGCTGAGCTTTGTCCCCACTCGTCACGTAGAAACCGGCCAAGCCCCAGGGGAGATGCCATCCCAGGAGGTGGTGAAACTCCTGGCCATGAGGGATCACAGTCCCTTGGAGATGGTGTTTGCTGCTGGCATGTGGCTTTCCATGCCTTAGCAAAGACACTGCCTTTTAGTAGGACAGTATTCTCTCCTGAGGCTTCTCTCAAAACCTGAGCATTTGGAGGTGATGCTTAGGTCAGCAAAGGGAATATAAATGGCTATCTTGTCACGGTCTGCACGGTATCACTGTGTGTGCCAAAAAAGGAGAGGCAACATCTTTCTACCCCTCAGACTTTCAACAAGAGGCGAGTACTTCAGTCCCAGCAGGGAGTTCCGGCTTCATGGGGGATGCACTTGCAGAGACCTGGAACCTGCCTGACTCTGCAACCTGCCTCCCTCACACCCCTGTGGCCTCCTTTTGCCTTGGGGCTCTTACACAGCTGTAAGAAGTGGGATTGTAGTCCATTAGCTGTCCGCTCCCCAGCAGCACCATCACAGCAGCCAGGTGGGCACAGCCCTCCAGTCACATCCACCCCTCCGCCCTGCCTCTCCCACACGCTTTCTGAGCCGCTGGTGGTGCCAGGGAGAAAGCCCTCTCCACCCCACGGCCACAGCTGTCCACTGAGGAGGCTTTCTGGTCCGTTTGTACTAATCTGACCCCAAAAGTCACTCTGAACTGGAATTGCCATCTGTCCGATTTCTGCACAGTTTTACTGTGCGGTCATCTGTCGCCCTCTGAGCTACTGTAGTGTGCAGATTGATCTGTATATTTTTGGGGACAGTTTATCTGAAGCAGTCTTTCCTTTTTTTATCTTTTTTCATTTTTGTGTTCTTTTTTTAGTATCTGAAAGGTGGCAGCCCTGTTCTGGCCACTGGTAGAGCCAGAACAGAGAGCCCTGATAAGCTTTGAGATACGTTTGTCTGCATTTTCTTTAGGAAGTATCATGGAAGTAATTGCACAGTACAAAATGATGGGGAACAGGCCAAGAAAGAGTGGCAGAAGCAAAAGGTTTATGTTTAGTGCCATAGGAGATGCCAGTGTGATAGTGCCAGGCTGTGCACACAGAAGGAAACAGGAGGACACGATAGAAGAGCAAAATAAGTGCAGTCACGCTAGAAATGCTTAATCCAACTTTCTGTGGCACATATTATGTTTTACTCTTCTGTCTTAAAGTATTGCTGTTGTTGGTGGTTTTAGTGATATAATAAATACAAGGCATTACTTGAGTAGCAAATTGCCCCTCAGCCTGGAATGAGACCCTCAATGGGACAGTTGCCATGCAAACTCACAATATGTGATCCCCCTTCCCAAAAGACTTTATGAATAAGACTAATAAGAATGGATTATCAGGCATAACTGCAAAATTAGAAAGAAGTCCTTATTACTTCCTCCTCTGTCATGATCTCAAGATGGGCAACATAGAGACAGAGGAGGGTGGTTAAGCACTGAGGTGTGAGAAGGTCTTCACTCCTGTGGAGTATAAGCTACAATGTTAACCCCATAGCAGCAGCTATAGCGGCAGCGGATAACACAAGAAATGTTGTTACCATGCAGCAAGGCAATAAATACAGCAGAATCAACAATTCACAAGTAAAACTCAGCCAGCACTGGCAACTAGAGAAGTGTTAGAAGTGGAAAAGGATATGGACTTTGTAGGAGGCTGGGAAAGCAGTGCCTTTGGGAGACAATGGTAGACCCTAAGGAACACAAGAGGAAATTAAATAGTGGCAGGAAACACTGGCTATGTTCATATTAACAGGTCAGATAGGGCCAGGGTCCAGCCCCAAGCAGTGGCACATAGTCATCCATCCTCTTTGTTTAATTGTTAGCATGCTTGCTAACGTGGTTTTAGCCTGGGCCAACTTCTGTTCTTCCAAACACTGTCGGACTCTCACTCAGGACCGCACAGACTAAGGTCCCTTCGCAAAAGGCAGTCCGAACGTGGCATAGCCTGGTCTGAAGGAAGAGCGAGATTGGGTGCGAGCTGTGCCATGCCGGTTGACCTCAGGGCCAGTTGCTGATCTGCTGTATTTACTAGTATAGGCATAGTCACTGATGCCAAGAAAACACGGGGAGTATGAGGTTGAGGACTAGGTAAGAGAAAAGCGCACAGGAGATGGGCAAAGAGGGCAATATAAAGAAAAAATATCCCGAGGTGCAAGTGGGGAAGTGGTTGAAACAATTCAGGTTTTATATTCTAGTCCTTTGTTTACACACTGCCTCTTCAGATTTTAGCTTTTTAAGACATGGACCAATCATCTCTGATCCACGTTAGGTATATGCTCGAAGAAAGCGTCATCATTAATACCAAAATGCCAGAAAATACCAGCCCCTGACTTGTTGAAATACTTTTGAATCTGTAGTAAATCCAAAGCCTACAAGATTATTATTTTTCTCTTCATTCAGTGTGAGAATGAGGAAGAGTGCAGAGACATCAAGAAGACTCATTTAGAGAGAGAGGGTTCTTCACGATTAGCTGCCTCTGCCCACAGCATCACAACAGCAAATCACTGCAATATGAATGAAAATAGGTAAGCATTTTCCTTCTTATTTACCACTGAGTCATACAACTAGTTGCAGTTTAATGCCGTGTGTTATTTTTTCCTTTAATAGGATTTATCTTTTAATTATCACATTTTATGTTGAAAAATTGCCCACTGCATTCTCCTTTCTTCTGGTTTAATGAACAAGTTAGCAGCTCCTGACATATTTATATACTCACATTTTTGTCCTATTGCACAACGAAGTTGTGAGTTCAAGTGTGAGGCTCATGGAATGAGTAATTATAGCTAGAGCAGTGTGATCGTCCGAGACATGTTCCTAAACACTGTCTTGTAGGTACGAATTCACATAGGCGACCATCTTATAACCTTTTCTTCCCTTACAGTGTCACGAGTTTCAAACTTAAAGTTTGGCTGTATGTCTGGGTTTAAATACAATTACCTATAAACTCTATGGAAAAGACTGAGAAAGATTCATAACAATGCCTGCAATACTCAATTCCAGAACGTATTTGAGATCCAATATTTTTGAGATTACAAGCAATCTATTCTGTGTAATTACTGGGTATTTTAGGACAAGGAACTCGGACTTTAAAAACAATCAGATTTTCAAAGGATGCAGGGCATGAAACAAATTATGAATATTTAGCATTTGCTGGCATGGTTGATGCACACAGACCCCTATCAATGTCAGATCAATCATACTGAGTTTCTCTGGAGGCTTCCAGCAGTCAAACTTAGGCATGCATCTTTTCAGAGTTGAGCTGCATGCTGCTTAGTACATGCTGGTCATCAGTATTCAAAAAAAACCCATCATTTTCTGGTAGTATCAGGGTATCTCTTGGGGTGGAACTGCTAAAATCAGAGAATAGTTGTATTTATGGTAGTAGGCTTTTCTGTTGTACACATCACTGATGAGTTTGAGCAATTCTTGTCATTAATACTGGAAAAAATCATGGAGAAAACTATAATATATAGTGCTTATTCAAAAATATGCATTCAATTTCTTTGTCCTGACATGTCACATATGTTTCATAAAGTGAAAACAATACACAGAACAGTTTGTTTTACTGTGGGTGATTGCATGCAGGCATGCCATTCCTGTTACCACAGTGTCATATGTTTTACGTCGCATTCATTTTCAGAGAATAGCATGGCTGTCATAGCTTGCTATGTCATAGGGTTAATTCTGTGCTTTCTGGAAGCAGGACAATAATTTGTGTTTTGCTTGACATTATATTCAGTACTCCTGGTAGTAACTGTACATTGAAGAAACAAAGAAGAAAGTCTTAAATGTATATTTGCCTCCTACTTCTTCCCTGGTCTGTCCTGCTTCCAAGAGGTTTCTGTGGTTTATGCTACTGTAGGACATGATATTTTTTTTTTTTGTCCGGGTTATTATTATTCAGCTCCCAGCAGAGCCACACAGACAGTTTTGTCAGCACAGCTCAGGGCTGGTAGCAAAGAGAGGAGCAAAACCACCTTCAGACATGAGCATTCTCTACTGTGGAATTACAGTCTGAGGCATGGACTGAGCAAGGCCCTGATTGACAAGAAAGGCTGCAGCGTCAAAAAAACGTCAAACCCCAAATATCTTGCGTCTACATCAGGTGTCACAATCTGCCTGCTCAGAGCAGAGCTCACTGCAGGTTGTTCTGCACAGCTTCTCCGTATAAATGATTGTGCTGCTGCAGTTTGACTGCTCACAATACACTTAGGTGGGCCCTGCTGCAGTTTGACTGCTCGCAATACACTTAGGTGGGCCTTTCAGTGCCAAAGGCCATGTAGAAGGTCTGCAGCACAACTAGAAATTGCAGCTACTCTTCACAAGCTCTGGGCCAAGCCTTTGAGGCTTGGGTACACTTCCAAAGAGCTACGGCTTCTCTTGGATGCATTAGGCCTGCACTTTGACAGTGATGTATAAACATGGCTAGTCAAGGCATGGGTTTATGTTTGAAAAGAGGAAAAGAAATGACAGCATTGGGCTGCACATTCAAAACAGTGCTAAAGATCTTATTTTTCTTAGGGGAGAAGAAGGGCACAGTTGTCCATCTTACACATCCTGATTCTTGCTTTCATAAACAGCATTGGTCATTAAAGCAAAGGAAAGAGGAAAGGTTCTGAATTACAATTCATGGCTTCTTTCACCGCTAGTTTTTAAAGATTTGCCAGATAAATGGGCAAATGTATGATAAAAGCACATTTAATTAGCTCTGTTCCTGAAATGATGTGCAGAAATAAAGTATAGTTTGTACCATATTCTTTTTTGCGATTCCATTAAGTGTATACTGTCTGATACAGTAACTATAAAGACGTGAGAAATGTCCATAAAAAGTAATAGGCTGAATAAAGGGGAATGTGACAGGGAAAGGTATTGTGTTAAAATAGTCTGTCTGACCTTAATCACAGTTTTAGTCTTAATGTAAACTGTCTCCTTAAAAAAACTTTCATTTTGTGTGTGTTGCTTTAAGATTTTCAGCTAAATATTTTCTTCAAATTAGTGCATCTGAAATTTATTTCTGGGCATATTTTTACAGTCTGTCTGACTTCTCATCCAAATCTTCTCCCAAATAAATGAAAGCTGAAAATACTGTTTGTGTTATAGCTTTCTTCTTTAGAAGATGGAGCAGCTCACATTTCTCTGTGTCTACTGTTTGCATATGTTTTCTTTTGTCTGCAGTACCAGCCTATCTTTCTTTGTCTTCAAAATCTGTATTAGATTAGTATAAACAGTACTACCAAAGGCTGGGCATTGAGCACAAGGACAGGCCAGTCATCTTTAAACACATTTCCTGTTTTAGTTCACATATGGTTTTATTGCCATGGCTTATAAATTGTCACCTGTAATGGTGAAATAGGGCTCCATAACCTGAACTTACACTTCAGAGCCTAATCTTCGTCTCCAGCTATCCCTTAAGAAATGGTGAGCAAGTGGCCATTTATCTCTGTATTTTTTTTCAAGTACTCTGATACAGACTTTATATTAACTCCAGAATTACAATTTGCCTTGAAGGGAAATGGAAAGAGGAGAAACATGATACAAATTTGTAAATGAACTCTTGGTCCCAATACTGTAAGCTTCTTTCCAGATACCAATAGACTTTATCCTGCCAGCAGGTTTTAAATTCAAAGTTTTGGTAATATATAAAACATTTTCCTTTCTCAAAGCCAGCTTTGTGACACTCCATTACTGTAATTTCCATTTCCAGCTTGGCAATACCAATAAATAAAAATGAGAAAATGCTTCGGTCACCCGTCTCTCCCCTCTCTGATGCATCAAAACACAAATACTCCAACGATGATTTAACTTCCTCCAGCAGACCTAATGGCAGCAGTCTATTACCTTCCATCTCCTCCAGCAAAAAACATAAGGGTGAAATCCAGTCACAGCCACATCCCGGAGACTTCAATGTAAGTTTATGCTGTTGTTCACAATATAAAGCCTAGCTGTATATTTTTCACTTTGTATTGCATTCCATGATAGTTTTGCAGAATGTTATGCAAAAAAATTGTAATAATGATTTTTGTATTGTAAATACAGTTTTTCTGATTTGAAGTTTAGCAAGGCACAGAAGAAAGTAAAGAGGGCAGGCTGTAAAGCAGGCAAATACCAAAGGCTACATAAGCAAAAGATAAAAGGTAATGGCCCAAAACAGATGGCTTTAGGCCTCCAGAGTATCACTTGGGCACGATGCAAGCCCCCTACATCTAAAAGTGTCGTGCATAAGGCCTCTACTATATAAGGCCACCACCTAACCATGACTGTGCCTGCAGAAAAGTTCTCCTACATGTCTTACAACCAGCTTTCTCAGACATTTCTACTTACTCTTGACACCAGTGAACAGCTTAGCACTAGCCTCACAGCTCAGCCCCATCAGAGTCCAGGTATTCAGATACCTATCTGAGAGTCTTGATCACACTAAATGTGTCCAGAGCACCCTTCCAGATAAGGCCGTATCACTACACTGCATGGTAGCCACTGCCTTCAGAGCACAGAGAGAAAGGAGTAGATGCTGCCCACATTTATGCACGAGTTCTGTGATTAGGATGCTGGAGTAAAGAGCCTGTTAGCTCTTCTGATGGAGGGAATTCACATGTCTCTCTCACCTCTCAAAATCATACCCTACCCTCCAGCCTACAGGACACTGCCTGTAGAAGATCAAGGGCGGAATATTGTCACGTCTCCTCCCCTTGAAGCTGTTCTGCTTTGTGTGAAATACCTACAAGAAACAATTTGGTTACCATCATATTGATGTCCACTGCTGGAGCATCTAGGCAAGCTGTTAGGGCACTCTGATGCTGCTAGAAGGGCCCATGCTCCTCTCCTTGCTACAAAAGCCATTTATATATTTTATACTATATCTATTTGTTGTATTTGTTATTTGATACATAAGAGGCTTCAAAAGCCTAAGGATTAGTGCCTAAGCAACTTTCAGGAAAACAAACTACCTGAGTTGTATCAGTGGTCTCTTCCAGCCACTTTTGCTGTGGGGATAACTGGGCCCACAATATATGTGAAGTATATATGTATATACTTAAATATATTTAATTTTTGAGAGTGGAGGAGGAAATAGTAACTATAACCTTAATTTTTGGACGCTTTTTAAAAACAAAATTATCATAACTTGTATGTTTCAAGAATATCTCGCAAATTTTGGTAAATTGCAATAAAATTAATTACATTAAAATACTCCAATAAAAAGGCATTTTAACATATCATAGTCATTAATTTATTTTTTCATGGATTAAATGTAACTTTTTTAACATTTTCACTTCTAAAACATAAGTTTAGAGGTTTATAACCCATTCAGAATTATAATGATATGACTCTTCACTGGATATCTTGAAAACAATTTAAATTCCTTCACAGGCAAATGTGCTGGAAATCAAAAGTAAAAGGTGATTGCTTTATGATCCACACGCTTAGCAAATGCGTTTCACTGAGATTTTCTGCATAGCCTAGCAATGCACCATTTGGTCAACATTTTAACAACCTTTGCAATAAAATTCTTATGTGCTGAACTGATCTGGATGTGCCATATAGAAGATGAGAGCTCATGAACTATAAATGTTAAAGTTAGCTTTGTTTTGTCCCAGCTTCCCATCTGGCACCTAACTGGCATGCCCAAGTGGTCCTTTGAAATTCTGTCAGAGAGCACAAGCCAGGGAGTGGCTTTTATCCGTTTGAGCTTTTTGTCCATTTCCCTATTGCGTTTCTGTCTGTCATCTGACGGAGAAAGAACAGTGTTTTCTGGCAGTGGCTATCAACCAAAAACAACCCGGGGCCCTCTGCTTTGCACTGTACCAGTGTGTGGTGGCCCACACAGCAGGTCACTCGGTGGGACGAAGGGCTCATGAGGCCACATGAAGAACAGGGCTGCAGCTGAGGGAATGCGTGAGACCCTGCCAAAAGGCATGTGCTTCTGCTGTGGCACAGAGCAGCGATCTTTCAAGCTGATCAGGGGCCCAGAGGAGAAAGAAACCTGGACTTTGGGCTACAAATTCGTACTGCACAGGCACATCAGCAGCACAGCGTGAAACGAGTCAAACAAGTGAGACTTGCTCTCCCAAGGCAAGGTACAGCATTAGTTTGGAAGCTGAAGACTAGAGATATAACTTGATCTTCTAAATGACCACAACAGATCTATTCTTTAATAATTTCACTTACTGTTTTTCAGAGTGTTTTGATAGTTCGGCTCCATTTCTTCCGTACATCACATTGAAACTCGAGCCCTTTAGAAAGTGCTCTGAGCAATATCTGTGGATTTGTGGTTGTCAGTGACAGGGCAGTTATACATACTCCCTGCGGAAATACTAGGAAAACTAACTGCCAATTTACAACACAATGCAAAGATACTCTGTTGTTTATTAGTTGCTTTTTTGAAGTTAGTAGCCAATTCCTCAATGTCTTCTCTGCTGTTTGTTGTCTAGAAAGCAATTCACATCAATTCAGAAAATGTTCTTCTCTGCAATAAGCCCCAGTCCCAAACAGAGCCTTGGTCACCTCTGTCCAGCACACCCAGGGACTGCAGAAGGACAAAGCTTATCTTCGATGATATGTAAGTACAGATGACTGTAAGATAAAGAAAACGATGTCATTTTCTCCATTTAAAGAGAGATTATTTGTCCAACAGGAACTGAGACATGTCCAAAAGTATTATGGTAATATTGTACATTGATAAATGAATGAAGCATCCTACATAAACTCTTTGATTTTTCATAATAAATTAAGCCTCTAATCATCAGGGAGCAGTGAGGACTGGCTGTTCCCTAAAGGACAGGGAACCGAGAGCCAAGGGCCAGAACGCGGCCAGCAGGGCAGGGGCCGTGCCAGCCAAGGGTCCAGCCCCACAACACCCAAGCAAGGTGAGCAGGGCAGGCCCAAGGGTGGAGTCAGGTTCAAGCAAGAGCCCAGATCCTCAGGCAAGTCCATGGTGATGAGGCTGGTCCAAGTCAGGCCGGGAAGTCAGGTCAGGATCAGGTGCGGTGAGGGTCAGACGCAGCCCAGTGACTGCCGGGGGTGTGTAGTGATGAGGCAGGTCTGAGGTCTGGCCAGGAAGACAGCCTCCAGGTCAGGGTCCAGATCAACAAGGGCCATGGCCAGGCACAAGCATGGCTGTGAAAGGGCTGAAGACAGGCACGCTTACAATGAGTTGGACAGAGAGTGAAGGCCCAGACCTGAGCTTAAATGGATTTCTTTAGCCCATGGTCAGAGGGGGGAGGCCCCACATAAGGCAAGACAGGTCCATTAGGCTTTATCAGTACCCTTAAGCCTCTGTCATTAATTATGCACACATGAGACTATTAATACATACAGAACCATAGCAAGGCAGGGTGACAGGGGGACCCTTCTTGTGCACCCTTTAGAGCAAGGGGAGAAGGCACATGGGAGCCTTGCATCCCTGAGCCTTGACAGCTGCTTCTGTCATTGCTACTGCTGCTCAGAAAAAGGAATCACAAAGGCAGGGTGAGTAGGAAGCAACAGTGGTTGGCATGAGTACCTGGAGCGATACCTGGCCCTCCCCATCCCCACTACATTTTTCAAACATGCCCTGCTCTCCTCCTCTGAAAATAATTTCAGCTTGTAATTGTCTTTCTTTTCTTTTTGGTAAATTAAAATTGCTGGTTCATTTCCCAAGGTCATTTAGGATGTGATAGTATCTAGGTAAGGTATAAAGATGAAACTGAAGGTTGAAATCCCAGTATCTAGAAAATCCAGATTCTTTTTGACTTTGAATTTTCTGGCCTGAAAATACAGATTTTTCTAGTGTAGAAGAGGTTCTGTTGAAGCTGTGCCTCAGACTGCCTGGATCTAATACAGCTCTGTAAGCTGTGTGACCTTGACACACCTTTTGTACTCCCAGACTTTCACCTTCAACATTGCTAACTCTTTTATACTAAGGGAAACCCTGGGAAAACAGCCCTGTTTCCCCAGGAACTGTTTTTTACCAGAACTGGAATTTAATAATAATAATTGTAATAATTGCAATAATTGTAATGTTTATTCACACCACCTGGTCTCAGGGACAACTAGAGGGATGGCAGCCTCTCATATAGAGAATCCAGGTTTCCTACTATAAGGCATAAATAATTCCTGTAGACTTCAAAAGGACATAATTGTTTTGTTTGTCAAGAAAAGACTGGTGAGATTAATGTCTGTCTGTATTCATGGCAGTCATAAGGAGATGTAAGTTGAATACATGTAATCATTTTTTCTGCCCCTTTTGGAGGAAACTCCTCTCTGTGTATATATTCCTATTTTCCCTCCTTCTCCACTTCCCTCCATGTTATTTTTTAACTCTTCCAGTGCATTTATTCAACAATCTCCACTGAGGAAATTTGAAACTGTTTAGAAGTACTACTTAACTCTTCATATCTCTTAGAATACTTTATCATCTCTAATTTACTTGCAACTGTTCAATTTTTCTGCAGTTTATACATGTACATATGAGGCAGAAAGGTATCAGTGTGCCTGATAAAAGTCAAAATTGTAGGATGTGCTCATCTGTTTGGATTAGAAAAAAACACAGTCAGAAACAGTTACAACAGAACTATTGTATCTTCATCTGATTTTCCCTCAAGATGCTGACAAAAGACAGGCAGACTGGTTTGTTTTGGTTTTCCCCTAGAATACTATCATAGGAAAACTGCTTTTTTCACTGTCTGTCATCTAAGAGGCTTTTATCACTTGCTTTCTCTATTAGTGATACATGTGATTTCTCAGGCAGGGATCTTCAATAAAACTGTTTCACCTTTTCAGAGAGAGAGATACAATAAAACTGTTCGTGTATAGTGCCTTCCATGTAGAATGTCCCCAAGCAACTTGTGGCCCATTAAAAAAATCAATCTAAAAAGGCAAATAAAATGAAACACAGAATCAAATATGCCTTAATTTGCCCTTAAAACCCAGAAACAGTTAAATGCCTGTTGTGCTAACTAGAGGAGGAAGACTTTCATGTACTACAACTGTCATCCACAACCTGTATCTAGGAAACACCACCAGAATACCAGCTATACTAGACCTTGATTCTGAAATTACTGTGCAGAGAAGTCACGGAAATGTAGCAGATTAGACTGGCTGCAAATGTTAAATGTCAACAAACTTGACTCACATGTTAGAAGGATCAAATTAAATATGGCAGCCAGTGTCTTTCAAATTTGTATAGTACCACAGCAGAGGATTTGAAGAAATGCAACACAGTAGGTCAAAAATTATGTAGTAATCCTAATGGCAGCATTTGTCCACAATTATGCTTATGAAGTATTTCATCTCATAATCCATGAAGTTCTGAATTGCTGTAATCCAGCCATGGCTTTAAGGTCTTCATTTTAATCAGAATCTATAGTTTTTAAGAGACTAAATCCCTTATATTTGATTTAAAACAACAACTAATGTTTTTGACCAATCAGTGTCTCTTTGCTTTATTCTCAATTTATTTTCTCCAGATCATTGACAACAGCTGTCACTAGCAATAAACTGGAACACAAGTAGGTCAATAAAAAGTATATCTTGCTTGGCAGAGTGCTGTATACGCATACATCGCAATATAAAAGTGAATATGGCTAACAGTCTTCAAAAGGCAGGCGAAGTCCTGCTTCCCCTGGTTTGCCATTGTTTACTGCCTGCTCTAAATATGCTCCGAGGTACCCAGCATGCCACATGTATAAGTGACATCAATGCTGTTTCCAGCATTAATTCTTAACAAGATTTCCTGGATTTTTCGCCGTTTCTGACTCTATGAAGAGAACATTTTCAAGGCTACATAATAATGCTTCAAGCCAAATTCAGTCCTGCTGTAATTTCACTGAATGATAGAATTCCCCATAACCGCATTTAGGAACAAAGTCTGTTGTCCTTGAAGTGATAAGCACAGACATGCTGTGGGTGCCCTAGGGCACAGTCCCACACCCTCCTCAAAATACTGCATGTGTGGTATAAAAAAGAGCAGAGCATACCCAGCTTCCCAGTTTTCCTTATGGCTGGGATTATTTTCTCACTTGCATTGTGGGTTACCCTTTCAAACTTGGGGTGTGGTTTTTCTTGACTTACATTTTTTTTCCTTTTATTCTGTTCTTATAGGAGCAAGATAATACATCTTCTTCAGCTTTTTTTTTTTTTTTAATTCATATTTTGTTCAATGTTTGTTCCACCTTTATGGATTTAGGTGCTACATACCCACCAGCTTTACATTGTCCAAGGGACATTCC